GGAAAAGCTCGTACATCTCATCAACAGAATGCAAAAAACTAAATGAGCTATACCAGTCGATATCAGCAAGATATTTGGTAATGACTTCATAGTCAGCCGCTTTGAAATTAAGTTTTGCAACAAGTTTTTCCTTGGCTGCTAAGAGATTCAAATCAAAAACGAGGCTATTATGATCACTAGTAAAGAGAGCTGTAGATTAGTCAAGTCTCCAAAAATTTCATCGGTAGAAAAAAAAGCTGTGGATGTCAAATCGTCGGTAACGGAAACGGTAGTAATTTGAACGTATACAGCTGGACAGGTGAAAAAGCTTATATTAGCCCGTGATCAATGGTCCATGGATTATTCACATGACCTAATTGGTAAGCGACGTCGTCGGATCCCTTGCATGTGTACCGAGCACTAGCTGTTACTTTATATGCGTTTTTAACGGCTCATTCTGCTCCTCCCTCTATTGGATTTCGCGGTACTTCCTGCCTTGAGATGAGCAACAGAGAAAATAGACTCATGGTGCTAAAGTGCACTACTAGAAGTGCTTTGCAAAAGGTTACGCTAGGAGCTCCCCTTAGACTCAACACGGGGCTGAATTCAGGGCTTGAAGCCGCACCAGCGGGTACCTCTCCGGGGTGCTGCTCTATTCAGAAAGTAATGGGTATCGGGTCTTGTAGATGCAATGGCAAGCGGTTTGGTGAAGCACCGTCCCAAATGTCTCCCCGCGATCGAAAATCGTGCTGAGCGTCGGGAAGGTGATGGGTAGCTCAGCAGTGGAGATACAGTTGAAAAAACAGTCCAACACGCCCTAGATAGGTCCCCTGTTGGTCCGCACTCGTACGAGGTACGGCAACGAGTGGGCACGCTTGGACGAAAGCCTTCTCATTGATATCACAGCGGAATCTAGTCTTTTCCCTCTATTTACTCTCTACTTTCGGAAAATGACAACTTTTGGCGGAACATCGTACACCCAGAAGCCTTTAGAAGTAGCGATGGGCGAAGCATCGAGCGGTGTGCGGGGCACTGCCGTCGTCGCGATCACCTGACACCCCTACCGCGTATTTTCAGGCCGCGGAGGTGGGATATCCTCTTTGCCTACAAACTGAGCATTGGTGAGTGAAGGAGGCTTCACACCATTTGATGATCGCGGGATGCGCTTCTAGGCGCTTTGAATATCTGGGATCGGGACGTCCCGCATCGGATTCCCAGATGCGGGCCTTTCACGAAAAACGAGGGGTCACTGGGACGGTTGTGGTGCCCGACGTGACGATAGCAAACCTCAGACAATGTCAAAAGTTGTCCTCAGCAAAACTATGAACTTATTTGAACTTGAAATCTTATAACGAAACGACGGTTAGGTAGTCGGGAATTAGAGAAAAACAAAAGAACACGGGAGTCTGAAGCTTCCGAGGTTGACTAACACTCGCTGGAAAACCTTTCTCTTTTGAACAAGGCGACAGTAAACCGGCGTACATTTATACGAGATCACACATTCGAAGCCAAATGGTTTGGTTTTACTTCTTGTCGTCCTGTACTGAGCCATTTGCGTTGGCTACGATATCGAACAGCCTCCGTTGCCCAGGCACTGCTGACATCCTGCGGGAGCCAAACGTCGACAATAGATAACGCCAACATCCTGTACGCCGTTGATCGTATAGTAACTGAAAATTCGTGTGTTAATACTACCCCTTCCGAGGCCCATGGTGCGGGGCTCAGTACCGCTCTAGTGCGGTGAGTAGTATGGTGGTAACTGTGCATCGATCGCGGGGATATCCTTGTCCAGCGAGTACCTTCGACTATTCTGCCGTCTCTTATCTTGATCCCATGGGCATACTATGAGGTTCAGCAACGGTTTTGGTGAGGAGATTAGGGAGATTGAGATCTGGGGATCCTCCAGCATTGTGATCTTCGTGGAAAAGTAAAAGCAAAAGGGTCGGACTAAGAGGATGGTCTGTGAAGACTCCCGACCGGCTTCTCCACACCACCACTGCTTCAGCTACGAGTTGGATCGGTATGCCGTAACCTACAGCTGCATTTGTAGGCCAAATGGGTAAGGGGCTACACTGTGACAAGCAGAGTTATGAGGCCCGAGTTGTGGCGCCTTAACCTGGGTATCGGTACGCCCACAGATTCAGATTGCGGCTGGATGAGAGCAGGACTCCTATGGCTCCAGTTGTGGGTTTGGCAGTGTAGTGTTTTACCCCACCACTGCACTTGGGGCGCCTAATTGGGAAGCAGCCTTTGTAGAACGGGTATTGGGTAATAGGAGGCTACTCGCAGCTGCGGTGTGGAGCTAATGGCAATGGGGTTGGTGCAACAGTTCGCAACTGAAAGTTGGGTGGTATGGGATTACCTCACATCAGGCGAGTAAGTTAGCGGGCTAGGTTCGTGATGTGAAGTGGGCTAGCTACACTCCATTAGTGGGTTCTATGGGGGCCGCTGGTACTCACAGGTAGGGGCTAGATGCAAGATGAAAGCAAGGATGTACCTGGCGGCTCCATTTGCGGGCTCGACGATAAGCTGTTTATCATCAGAAGCTTCATTTGTCAGATGGATGGTAACATGGTCTACCCATTTGTAGAGGGATGAATATTGGGGGGGGGGCTACTCGCAGCTCCAGTTATGAGCTCGATAGGTATGCGCTTATTCCCAACCCTAGCAGTGGGCTAGATGGAAGCCGGATTACTCACGGTTCCAGTTGCGGGGTAAACAGTCACTCACAAGTCCAGTTATGAACTCGATTGGTACACGATTGCTTACAACTCCAGTTATGAGCTGGATTGTTATGCGATTACCTACAGCTCCACTCACGGGTTCGGTGGGTATGCGCTTACCCACTGCTCCAGCTGTGGGCCCAAATGGTACACGAGTGCGTACAAACTCCAGCTGTAGGCTTGATGGGGTTTCCCGCAACATCTGTTAGTGAATGAATGGGTGGGGGGAGGGGTAACCCACAGCTCCGCACTTATTCTGTTTTCCATCTGGCGCTGGATCCAACTTATAGGGCCTTGAGCAGGCTTTCCGGGCAACTACATGACATACTTTGGAATTTCTGCAACTCTTTCATATCCCATTTTCTCATAAAGGCGGATTGCGGGCAGGTTTGTGTGTAGTACATGTAGATATATCTAAAAAACCATTGATTAGAGAAGGTATCGATTGGCGGTATCGATCGATTGCCACTCACTAACTGACTGCCTTCTTGTAATAGGACTGTACTGGCACGTTGTAATAGTTGAGTACCAATGCCGATCTTTCTGTACTCTGATGCCACCATTAACGTCGTAATATAACAGGTCTGAGCATAGGATCTTCTGGTGATTGTCGATCAATAACTATTAAAACCATGTGAAAACAAACCCTTCTAAAGTTACTGATCAGTTTCTGCTCTTCAGGGTGGAGACAATTTACAGCGAAGTAATCTTTCACATTTCGTATCACACCAATTGCACCAACAAGCTTGTCTTCACGGTTGTAAGCACCTGACGGAGATCAATCAATAAATCAGTGAGAAATCGGTCAATAAATGGGCTGGTTTCATGTCATGTATGCTTACCCAGTGAGTAATGAGTGACTGTGTCGGTGGCGATACTCAGCCAGTATGACTCGGGATACGGTAATGGAAGACATTCCCCGCCAAGTCTGTAAAAAGAACTTGTAGAAAACGGGGAATTCCGTCTAGGCAGGTCCGTTACGAGTTGAGGACATTATGTGTCATTTAACACGTCAAGAACAGGGAAAATTGCACTCTGTCGTTGTCAGTGACGTCACAAGCGACGTCATTAACGCGTCATTAACGCGTTATGTGACGACAGTTACACTTCATCAGCTTCTTGACAGATAGCGTACTGTACCGCCTGCCTGTGCTATATCAATTGTTTCGCCAATATTTGGTGAACCAAAGATGGCCAACACAGTTGCTGGGCTGCGTGCGGTCGCGGTGCAACATCCTTTAGCTGCGGAACGCAGTGCTCAAGCTCATAAAATGTTTCTGACGGTCCTTATCATTGCGGACTGATGGGGCGTGTCAGGCGTGGTTTGAACGCGGCGACTGCCGCGTTTTATACCATCAGCTGTCTTTCGCCGTTGCGCGCAGATCCACGTCCCTAGACACGCCCCCTCTGTTCGCCGTTATAGACCACAACGCTTCGACCCAACTAGCGGTGACTTGCTGACTCGGTTCTTCTCCCAAAAGGAGTTCAGACTTCGGAATTCCCATCAATATATCATTCAATATTGAGAACTTACTGCTTTAAAGACTCGAAGTCGTTAATTGTCAGTTCCCGATAGGCTATATCTGGCGGATATGCGCTCATCGACCGAGCACCCGCCACCGACGAGTAGACCAGCGTTAACAAATGAGACCCACCTTATTTCTGCTGATGGAGATAAGACACCTCGTTGTAGGTCATGATAGCGAGCACTATCAGAATCTCTGAATGTTTTCTTCTTACTATCGAACAGTCCTCATCGGAAGCCTTTTGTAATGTCAGTGACATGGATCAGACTCACTCCGACAAAGGGAAGACTCAAAGGCGCCCCTCAATATGTGAAGTTACTCTTCCTCTGCGAACAAGTAGTTTGGTATTAGTGTTACCGGTTTGCACTACTTTCTTGGCCCAGAACCGAGTGACGAGGGCAACCATGCCGTTGTTGCTGTCACTGGCTGGACCCACCTTCAGTGGCCCCGCCCACCGCAGAAGCATGCCGTAATAAGCGAGCGCCAAAGAGGGGGAAAGGGCATAGTTGTCAATAAGAAACCAGCGGGCGTGTACTGCGGCGATCTCATCGAGCACCACTCGCCCGAATGATTTCTTTCGATCAGATCCTTTTCTTTTCAAGCTTTGGCTTCAATGCCAGGTAAGGCACCCCTATAGGCCCCTTTTATCTTATAGCCAATTCACTTGAGGACCGCTCCAAAACACAAAACACACAGTTACATCTTTATTAACAAAAACACATATGGTCAATTCAGTTCATAAATACTGTTTAATGACGTAATAAGGCAATATTGACATCCACTTTACATGATAATAGTCACTATATCTCACAAACAATTATTCATTTCCTGAACGGGAGTTTGGAAGAGCTAAAAAAGAGCTACGCTCTGGAGGGACTGTATGAAGTCGTAATGTATCAGCGTTACTACTAAGGCAAGTTGGGCCTGACAACGAGGCATGGCGCGGTCCGGCCACTCACTGAACGCCCGAAGCCACAACCAGGGATGAAAAACGGTGGCATCGTGGCGCCAAAACCCGAGCCCCACTGACTTCAGCAATAACAGCTGTGCTAACAGATAGAACAAGATTGGAGGGGAGCTACTTGTCGGCGGAAGACGGATCGCACACCACGTTTGGGAAATTACGCACCGATTCCAGTGTGAACCTACGTACCCAAGTTTCGTTACTGGAGCGGGGATTGCAGTAGTCCGCGACCGTGTTTGAGAAATCACAGAGGATAACCCTGATGGAAAGTCCACTAAAACAGTGAAAGTAGACGATGTCTACCCTCACTCAGGGATCACATCACAACTTTCTGAAGGGCGAATCCTAAGTATCACAAGTCAGAGCTGAAATCCATCAAATGCATATTTCACCATCGAATCGTGCGGCTGATGAAAAGCAGCTTCAACGTGTAGTACTAAGCTTTGCTCTTCAGAATGCTGTCTCTGTTGATGAGCCTGGGCTTCGTCCATTTTCACTATTTTAGTAGATTTTTCGTCAGGGTTATCCTTAAGATTGCTCAAACACGTCCGTGGACTGACTTTGAAAATCTTCACTCCATTGACAAAACTTAGGTATGGAAGACTACACTCCAGAAATCGGGGCGCAATTCTCTGCACAACACTAGTGACTGGGACCCAAAAAAGGGGAGGGGTATGGGTTCTCTGCTCGGCACCCCTTCCGTTTCTTTCTATCTGCCATTGAGTCGGCCTCAGGCAGCGTTCAGACTTCGCGGTAGTCCGTGTCGTCGCGCTACAACAGCAACATCGCTCCAGTGCTGTATACTCCAAAGCAGCTGAATCGATGGCGGCGGCGACTTGTGTCACGAGAGAGTACAGAAGAACAGGAGGGTACCAGACTGCGTGAAGGCAGCGCCCACCCTCCTGTTATCCTTCACTCTCTCAAAATGCTAGCGGCCGGCGCCGATTCTCTTCCGTCTACCACTTCGTTCGCGTCAGCAGCACTGGAACGCTGTTGCAACTGCAGTGCGTCAACGCCCGTTACCGCGCGTTACAGCACGTGAACGCGCGTCATGGCAAAGCCTGAACGCTTCCTCAATTGTCAACAATGATATTTAGAAGCTCATAAATGCTTATATCACATCACCAATCACGACTAGATATCAAACAATATCCAGTGAAAACATTAAGTATAGATAACCATCCCATCAGGGAGCACAAAATGTTCCCTCTAACACTTATCACCATACACTATCTACCCTAGGATGATATAATAGTTCATATTATTAGCATTATCAATTTAACCCTTATATATTATTAGTTTGGATATCAGAAGTGCGTATATGGCCTTGAATTACAGCAATGGACACTTGAGGAAAGCACACGTACACAAGTACTATGATGGTTAAAGAGTGTTACCCCCTCAGTAGTAACCGAAGGGGCAGAAAGGATACAGGTCGGGAGGTCCATGTTGCACACACACAAAGCTACTACTTCCTATTATTAGCCAGTTGATTCAGCATATTGGGCCGTCCTAAACCTGTTATGTTCTGGTGCGAATGCCGCGCACGTCTCAACATGGATCTCCAGACCGATTCTCGGCAGGAAGGGCAATTTTTTCTGGAAGAAATGTATATCTCTGGAGCTTAGGGCCCAAACAGAATAAATATGAATAAAGCCAATTAAAAAAACTGCTCAAGTGCACCCGATGACCATTTGAACACTATCTAACAGTACGGCATTGTAAGCCAGGCAAACCTGAAAAGGAATTTATTTAGTACCCTTTTAGTTACCACTTGAATAGGTTTGAAAAAGGTGGAACAACACCTGTGGTCGTTTTCGCTGCAGACGCTGGGGTGTGTCAGGAGGAGGGAGGGGCTGAATTGGGCGATGCGCCAGCTGGTTTTAAACCAATGAAGCTTCAACAATTGAGTGGAAAGCAGAACGGCGCCACGCCGAACCGAACCTCCTCCACTCTGAGAATCCCCTGCAGCGAAAACGACTGTAGTCTTCGTCCTGCAACAAGAGCGAGGCTGGG